AAGCACTTATAAATGAGAAAGAATCTCCATGTTGATATAATTATTTGTATAAACGGGAATAAGTAATAATAATTTTTATAAACGTAACAAATTACAAATATTTTTATAAACGAAAATAATTTAACTATTGATGCAATTGTTTTTTAACAGAAATAAGTTAACAGTAATTTTATAAATCGTCAAACAGATTCAAGGCACTTATAAACAAAATGTCTACATGTTGATATGTTAAAAGACTTATAAATGAGAAAGATTTATGTTATACTATAAACACAAATAACTTATTGTTTTAACTAATTTCAACTAGATAACTTATTTCAAGGTATCATGGAGTATAGATATTTATTTAGAACTGAAATTTAAGGAGGGGGTGTTGTAAAAATTATAAATATGATATAATAAGAAGGATTTAAAACTCACATTTGAGGGGAAGCTGTCATAAATTTTAGGTTTGGAAAAATTGACTAATTTTTGGATTCAACTGGAAATATAATTTTATTATTTTCTGTAGTTTTAAAATTAACTCATCTGGATTCAACTGAGTTGTGTTAACTCATCTGAATTCACGGGCAGATATGAACGTATCTATGAGATATCAGTTGTAGACGGGTCAATTTAATGTCCATCTTTTAATTATATCTTTTATTGTGATATATATAATTTAAATTATAAAAATGATTGTACGATTTATTATAAATACGAATAAATACTTAAAAGTTGGTAGTGAAAAACATGTAATGTGAATTTTGGTTTAAAATACTATTTGACTCAAAATAGATCGAATTTTGATTGATCAATTATTTTAGCTTATCTTTATATATATATATATATATATATATATATATATATATATATATATATATATATATATATATATATATATATATATATATATATATATATATATATATATTTAAAATCAAAATTAAATACATGTGGTTCATTCATTTACAAGTTCAACATTGAAATTTATAATATTACGAAGTTTGGCCAACATATGGTATTGATGTGACATTAACTTTTTTAACCTCTACCCATAATTATTAAGCTTTGGTAGCATATACTGTAATGATGAAACACAATTAATGTTATATAGCAACTTCACTGATGCAATGCACTGTACCCTATCTCATATCCAATGTACAAATAGAGTATCTGAGTACACTTAAAAATTAGAATACAAATGTTATGAACTGCAAAACCAAACAATTCCATATAGGTTTGTTACTCTTACAGTTAGATTGTATTTGCCTACTCCTGTATTCAGTCATGGCCAGTTGTATGTAGCCATTTCAAGAGTTACAAGCAAAAGTGGTCTAAAGATCTTAATACATGATAGTATGAATGTATCAACATCTATCACTACAAATGTTGTATACAAAGAAGTTTTCCAATCTCTTTGTTGATCGGTAAGTACATAATAACAAATATTTTCTTTAATATAAATTGTTTCCGTAAATGCTGTCTAATTTTTGCATAATTTATTGTACATGTCAAAAAGTTGAAAACATCGTTTCCAAGCTGGTTGCGTTGTATCTGAAGACTCGTGATAGTTTCTTATTTTGAAGAGTCATCACATTTTCTTATTTTGTTACACAATCATTATTTCAGTTTACATTTTTTAATGTTGTCAAATAAGTTTGATACACTAAATTTGGCCGAATTAGATGAACTTTTATTGAATTACATAAAAACGAATTTACTGTTACATGACAACATTAGTTCCACGTTTTATGAATTCTCGACCGGCCCCGTGCGACAGCACGGGTTATCGACTAGTAGACTTTTAAAATGCAAACCTCAATACACATAGAAAAATCAACTTATCTACTTATCTTAACTAGTGAATATTCCAATAACTAATGGATTCAATTTGATTGTATAGTAGCTTCCAATAAACTTATCTTAACTAGTGAATATTCCAATAACTAATGGATTCAATTTGATTGTATAGTAGCTTCCAATATCCAATATTAAAATTAAGGTCAAATATATTTTTGATATTTTCTTTGGCTATTTGTTTATTGTACAAAATTTTATTTATTAAAAATATAATTTATTTTATTAAAAATAAATAAGTAACGTGTCTTGAATTTGAGTCACACTCATTTAATTAGATGCCTATGTAATTATCAAATAAATACACTCATTTTTTATGTTGAATAAATCGGTCTTTATATTGAAATTATGAAAAATTATGTAGGTGATGTGATATTTTTTATATACTGAATCATTCGATTTGATCGATTTAATAATTATATAATTTTGTTATAAATATCGATTTATTCAATTAAATTATTCAATTTAATCTTGTTTAGTTATGTGGTTCAAACAATAGATAAGTGGATCGACCAATGGATCAATTAATAAATATTTAAATATCTATACTATTACCAAATTAAATTATTAAAATATATTTTATATTTAAATTACAAGACATTTTTAGAAACTAATCTTTTAAAATTTCTATATGATAAATTAGTTTTTTTTAATATGTAAACGTGTATATTATTGTTGTCGTTAAATCAAATCGATTGATAGTCGGACACAAAAGTAACAAGTTTTCAGAATTTATTCCACTTTTTTTTCTACTTTTTTTATCAAGTTATTAGAATTTAACTTTTAAAGATTTTTTCATCGAATGTCTCTACACATTTATCTAATCATTGAACTTTCTTAACGTGATACAATTTAAAATATTACGATAATAGATAGATAACCAACAAAACTCAAAAATACCTAAATGTGTAATGATGAAGTATATCAAAGTATTACACTTTTAAAATGCACACCTCAATGCATAGAAAAATCAACTTATCTACTTAACCTAACTAGTGAATATTCCAATAACTAATGGATTTAATTTAAATGTACACTAGCTTCCAATAACCAATATTAAAATTAAGGTCAAATACATTTTTGATTTTTGATTTGGCTATTTGTTAATTGTACAAAGTTTTATTTATTATATTTTATTTATTAAAAACAGAATTTTATTTATTAAAAATAAATAAGTAACATGTCTTAAATTCGAATCACATTCGTGTAATTAAATATTTATGCAGCTATCAAATAAATTAGATTATTGAGATTTTTTTTTATATTTAAACTATGAGACATTTTTTATATTGAATAAATTAGTTTTTATAACAAAATTATGAAAAATTATGTAGGTGTCGTGATATTTTTTAAAGACCGAGTAATTCGATTTGACTAATTTAATAATTATATAATTTTATTAAAAAGATCAATTTATTCAATCAAGCTATTTAATTTAATGTTGTTTAGTCATGTAGTTCGAACAGTAGTTAAGTAATTCGATCAATAAATCGATAAGCTAATACTCAAATATCTATGCAACTATCCAATTAGATTATTGAAATATATTCTATATTTAAATTACAAGACATTTTCAAAAACTAATCTTTTAAATTTTTATGTGATAAATTAAATTTTTTTTAATATGTAAAAGTGTATATTATTGTCCTCGTTAAATCAAATTGATTGATAGTTTAGTGAACACGGACAATCATCTTAAATATACATTGATCAAGTTCTAGAATCAATTTAAACGAAAGAAACAAGTTTTAATATTTCACAATTTATTTCACTTTTTTGTTTTACTTTTTTGTCAAATTATTGAAATTTAACATTTAAAAATAAAATAAATAAAATATTATAGATTCGAATATATACTCGTTCATTTGATACCTCTACATATTTATCTAATCATTAAATTGTTTTAACAGAATATGATTTAAAATATTATGATAATAGATAGATAACCAACAAAATTCAAGAATGCCTAAGTATTCAATGGTAAGTATGTAATGATGAAGTATATCAAAGTATTACACTTTCAAAATGCAAACCTCAATAACATAGAAAAATCAACTTATCTACTTACCTTAACTAGTGAATATTCCAATAACTAATGGATTCAATTTAAATGTACAGTAGCTTCCAATAACTAATATTAAAATTAAGGTCAAATATATTTTTGATTTTTTCTTTGACTATTTTTTTATTATACAAAATTTTATTTATTATATTTTATTTATTAAAAATAGAATTTTATTTATTAAAAATAAATAAATAACGTGCCTAGAATTCGAGTCCCGTTCTTATAATTAAATATTTATGTAGTTATCACAAAAATTAAATTATTGAGATTTTTTTATATTTAAACTATGAAATATTTTTTATATTGAATAAATCAGTCTTTATAATTAAACCATAAAAAATTATATAGGCGTTGTGATATTTTTTAAAGACTGAATTATTTAATTTAATCAATTTAGTAACTATATAATTTTATTATAAAGAGAGATTTATTCAATCGAATTATTCAATTTAATCTTGTTTAGTCATGCGATTCGAACAACTCAACTAGTGAACCAGTGAATCAATATCCAATACCAAAATAAATTATTAAAATATATTTTATATTTAAAATTACGAGATATTTTAAAAAAATTATGAGATATTTTAAAAAACTAATCTTTTAAAATTTCTCTGTGATAAATTAGTTTTTTTAATTCATAAAGTGTATATTAATATCATCGTTAAATCATATGGTATTTTTAATAAGTAAAAGATGTCTACGAAGGTATCAAATAAATAAGTTTTTTTAAAGATTTTTTTATATTTAAATTATGAGAAATATTTAAAAAAAACTAATCTTTTAAATATGTAAAAGTGTACATAGATTATTGAGACTTTTTATATTTAAATTATGAGACTTTTAAAAAAAAACTAATCTTGTAAATATGTAAAAGTGAAAGCAACATGAAAGCAACATGTTCCAATATCTTGCTTAAATTCTCCCACTTTCTTTATTTGTGCAATCAATTCAACTCCACTATTTACTAGCACTACCTCTTGCCACCAATATTTAAATCCACTTGAAACCAAGAAAAAAGAACATGCTTCATCTCAACTCTCCTACCTCTACAATATAACAAAACCAAAAACTCTATCATCTCATTATCTTTCACCAAATGAATCACTTCTCTTTCTTTTTTATATTTTTTTATGTATACTTTTGTTATCTCCCAAACAAAACTTTAGCAATGACCTTAACGCTACAAAACCAAACTGATCACCAAGCATTGCTCCAATTCAAACACTCAATAACCAATTATCCAAATGGAGTCCTAGACTCTTGGAATTCCTCCACACACTTTTGCAAATGGCATGGAATCACATGCAACCCCATGCATCAAAGAGTCACAAAGTTGAACTTACAAGGTAACAACTTGTATGGTTCCATTTCACCTTTTATTGGAAACCTCTCTCGTTTAAGAAACATCAACCTCCAAAACAATAGCTTCACCAAAAAAATTCCACACGAACTCGGCCAGTTGTTAAAACTAAATCAACTCTCTTTGGGCAATAACATGTTTTTAGGAGACATTCCTAAGAGCTTGTCAAATTGCTCCAATCTTAAAGTCTTGCATTTGCTTAAAAACAATCTCACCGGAAACATACCAATCGAATTCGCCTCTCTTCAAAAGCTTCTCAAAATAAACATAGGAAAAAACCATTTAACCGGAGGAGTTCCTTCTTTTATGAGTAACCTTTCTTCCTTGACAAGTCTTGTTCTTTTTTTCAACAACTTAGAGGGAAATATTCCACAAGAAATATGTCTCCTAAGAAACTTGAGAAATATATCGGTTGACGTGAACAAATTATCAGGTACATTTCCACCTTGTTTTTATAATATGTCATCTCTTGAATCGATCTCATTTGCTGAGAATCGCTTCAACGGTTATCTTCCGTGGAATATGTTCTATACATTACCATATCTCAAAGATTTTAGAATGGGACATAATTTATTCTCTGGCAAAATCCCTACTTCCATTGCAAATGCTTCTACTTTGAAAACATTTGACATTGGTCAAAACTCTTTACGTGGACAAGTTCCAAGTCTAGGGAAGCTACGAGATCTTGATTTGTTAAATCTCGAGATCAACATTCTAGGTAGCAATTCAACTAAAGATTTAGATTTTTTGAAAACATTGACAAATTGTACTAAGTTACGAATTCTTAGTATAACTGCCAATAGTTTTGGAGGTTTTCTTCCAAATTCTATAGGCAATTTTTCCCACCACCTTTATGAACTATACCTTGGGGGTAATGAGATATCAGGAGAAGTTCCTAAAGGGTTAGGAAATCTAGCAAACTTAATCATCTTGAGCTTGGGACACAACCACTTTGAAGGAACTATTCCAACAAGTTTTGGACAGTTCAAGAAAATGCAACTGTTAGATTTGCGCCAAAACAATTTTTCGGGGGAAATACCGAGTTTCATAGGCAATCTCAGTCAGTTGTTTGATCTGCGGATGGAAGAAAACATGTTTGAAGGAAATATTCCTTTGAGTATAGGGAAGTGTCAAATGTTGCAATTTCTAAGCCTTTCACACAACAATCTTCGAGGACCAATACCTTTAGAAGTTTTTCGAATTCCGTCCTTAGCAAAGCTAGATGTCTCTGAAAATCGTCTGTCTGGTGAGATACCAAGAACCATATATGGATGCTTAAGCTTAAAGTACCTTGGTTTACAAGGTAACTCGCTTAACGGAACCATACCTTCCAAATTGTCAGATCTCAAAAGTCTTCAATATTTAGACTTGTCCAGAAATCAATTGTCTGGATCAATTCCGAATGACTTGGAGAATATGGATCTTCTAGAATACTTGAATGTATCTTTCAACAAGTTGGAAGGTGAGGTTCCGATCAAAGGTGTATTTCAAAATGCAAGTCGGATAGCAGTGACAGGAAACAATAAGCTTTGTGGAGGAATTTTAGAGTTGCATCTATCACCATGCCCTGCCAACCTCATAAAACCTACAAAACACCAAAATTTGAAATTGGCAGCAGTGATCATTAGTGTGATTGTTTTCCTTATACTCATGTTAGCTCTAACCATCTACTTGATGAGGAAAAGAAATAGAAAATCATCTTTTGATACACCGAGAATTGAACAACTAGATAAGGTTTCATACCAAGAACTATATCAAGGAACCGACGGATTCTCAGATAGAAACTTGATTGGATCAGGAAGTTTTGGTTCGGTATACAAAGGAAATCTTGCATCACAAGATAAAGTTGTTGCTATAAAGGTTCTGAATCTTAAAAAGAAAGGAGCACACAAGAGTTTTATCGCGGAATGTAATGCACTAAAAAATATCAGACATCGAAATTTGGTCAAGGTTTTAACATGTTGTTCTAGTACTGATTACAAAGGTGAAGAATTCAAGGCTTTAGTTTTTGATTATATGAAAAACGGAAGCTTAGAAGACTGGCTTCATCCGCGGTCAGCAAATTCAGAACATCAAAGAATGTTGAGCCTTGTTCAAAGATTAAACATCATGATTGATATTGCTTATGCGTTACATTATCTTCATCGCGAATGTGAGCAATTAGTCCTTCACTGTGATATAAAGCCGAGCAACATCCTTCTGGACGATGACATGGTTGCTCGCGTGAGTGATTTTGGCATAACGAAACTTGTCTCGGTCGTTGATGATACATCTTATAAGGAAACTAGTACTGTCAGGCTAAAAGGGACCATTGGTTATGCTCCTCCAGGTATGTCAAAAACTCTTTAGTCATTTAGAGTTCATTAAAATGTCCTATATATTGAATCGTAACAATGTTTTATGCATATTTTAGAGTATGGAATGAGTTCTGAAGTATCGAGCTACGGTGACATGTATAGCTTTGGAATACTCGTGTTGGAAATGATTATTGGAAGACGACCAACGGATGAAATGTTTGAAGATGGTGAAAATCTGCATACTTTTGTTAAGAACTCGTTTCATGGTAGTATTATGCAGATTTTGGATACAAATCTTGTTGTACCAAGAGATACAGAGGCAAGAGTGGAGAAGTGCTTAGTTTCAGTTCTAAGGATTGGAATTGCTTGTTCAATGGAATCACCCAAAGAAAGAATGAACATAGTAGATGTTACTAAAGAGTTGGATATAATCAAGATGGTCTTTCTTGATGGTGAGAGAAGAGAAGATTGAACACTTTATAAATGAGATAATCCACACATATCTATTACCTTAGAGTTTTAGATGGATATGTGGTGTATCTCTCACAAAGGTGTGTCCCAAATAAAGATGCTCTCTCCTCAGAATTGCCCCTAACAAAATAAACTAAGATTTATATGTTTTTCAGCTCTAAGGATTGGACTTGCTTTTTCTGTTTTTTTCACCTCGAACCACAATAATCAATGTCTTGTAATGTTATTTTCTAAGGGTCTAAACCTTCAAAAAGAGGAGTAATTTAATAAAATAATTTTCATGAAAATACTTGAGTTACATATATTAGGAGATTTTGATTCAAATGTACGACAAAAATGGCACACAAAATTTTATGATTAGCCGAAGTTTTCTCAGCAGAGACAATGTCATGTCAAGTGAGTGCAAACAAAACCAAACATGAGTTAATAGAATCTCTCTCAAGTCTCTTGTGTCTATTGTGGTCACCAAAACTCTAAACTCTCTAAAAATATAGCAGGACAGAATAATGAAAGATAGGGCTCTTCAAAAAAAAAAACATAGAAACAAACTCTCACCGAACCGAACTGGAATAAAAATAATTGAATAATTATTAATAGTCAGTGAATTAAACTTATATTTTAGTAATAGTTTTAAAACTGAACCGTTAAACAATTAATCAATCTTAAAGTAGTTTTAAACCGAACTGTTGTTATTTTAGTATCTAAATTGAATTTTTTTAAGAAAAAAAAAATCGTTTTTTATTTTAAAAGTTGACTTTTAAAAAAAAGTTATTTTCAAAAATAAAAAAGTTAGTTTAAAAAAAAAATGATATTTTCGAAAATAAAAAAGTTAGTTTTTTCTGAAAATAAAAAAATTGATTTTTTCGAAGAAAAAAAAGTCATTTTCCTAAAAAAAAAATTGATTTTTTTCGAAAAAAACAATTTTTCCCTAAATTGAAAAGTCGTTTTTTTTTCAAAAATAGAAAAGTCGGGTTTTTCCTAAAATAAAAAAAAAAGATTTTTCCGAACCAAAGAGAATGAGGATTGTGAAACCACAAGTTGGGAAAGCTGTAAACATGAACACAAAGTCAACAAAACATAGAGAAAAACAGAAGAGGAGAAGTGAAACACGGAACATCATATATCATAGAGAGAACACTTTTGTGTTACCTGTGTAAATAGCTGAAAGACACAACAATATCTTCGATCTCGTGTAGATCCAACATGTTCACTATTGAAGAGATGAACTCAAATTTGAGGTTGTACTTCGATTTAGTCTTGACGTCTTGAAGTGCCGGTCCGACCTCGAGAGGCGTTGGGTGTATGTGTATATACAAATACTCTGACGGCCAAGTAATTGACGGTCACAAGTATTAGGTATGTTTATGGTTAAAAATTGTGTACCTACATTTTGAGGTCTACTTTAGGCTTTATAGTAAAGTCTTAGGATTTTAGGTCCCTAGAACCTTCTATTTTTGAGACATTTGTTTTCGGGTAATAATGTTTGTTGATATCAGTTAAGAACCCAATACTCAAGAGAAAATAAATTATATTATTAAAAAGGGCTATGAAAGCTTCTCATTAAACTTGGAATCACTCAATTTGGTTCAAAATCGAAGAAGTTGTGATTTGAGGAAGTTGAGTGACGAAATCGGAAATTCGATTGACTCTCTTTGATCTCTTTCAGCTTGGACCAATCAAAGTGACCTTGTGGACTGGTCGAAGCCTCATTCTTCTTTCTTCATTTGGACTGATTGAAGTGTGACTTTGTGGGCTGGTCGAAGCCTCATTCTTCTTTCTTCGTTTGGACTGTTTGAAGTGTCATCTTGTGGGCTGGTCGAAGCCTCGTTCTTCTTTCTTTGATTGAACTGATTGAAGTGTGACTTTGTGGGTTGGTCGAAGCCTCATTCTTCTTTCTTCGATTGAACTGATTGAAGTGTGACTTTGTGGGCTGGTCGAAGCTTCCTTCTTCATTCTTTTTTCTTCGTTTAGACTGTTTGAAATGTTACCTTTATGAGCTGGTCGAAGCCTCATTCCTGCTCTCTTTGTTTTCTCTCAACTTGGACCATTCGAAGTAACTTTTATAGGCTTGTCGAAGCCTCATTCCCGCCCTCTTCATTCTCTCAATTTGGACCATTCAAAGTGTTACCTTATGGACAGGCCAGCGCGCGCACAGTCTTGGGCAAATTGGCTTGAGTTGCCCAAGAATCCTAAGCCTCATATCTTACTCATCTCTCCATCATTTCTTTCGAACCTCAGCTTGTTTCGAAGCCTAAGGTATGCTCTTCATTTGACCCAAGGAAAATTTGAGAACGCACGAGCCAATTTTCTGTGGCCTCAGTTGGAAGTCAGCTGACTCTTGGTGCACGCTTGGGTTATGCAAGTTGAAGATTTTATGCACCCTTCGATTCTATTTGTTTTCAGGTTGATATTGCACATGCATGGCACGAATCACTCACCTCATTTTCTTACTTCTTTTGTCCAAACAATCACACTTTCCTTGCCTTCCCACAATTTTTACATTTTATTCAAAATTGGTAACTTTCACCTCAAGCAAAATCACACCATGTGCTCATACTTCCACCTCACCCCCTCACGCTTCACTCACCTCATTTCATTAACCTCTGAGGTCATCAAAATGCAGCATAAAAAGCCAAATAACAAACAAAACGCAAGCACATACTCTCACACTTTCACTTGCCTGTTTTGGCCAAATTGCCCTCCAACAGATTTATGTGAGTTATGACCTTATTACCCTCACTCTAAACACTCTATATAAACACTACATTGCTCATTCAAAAAGGGAGGAGGAGGAGAACGAAAGCTGCATTGGAGGAAGCTCAGATCTGAAATCACTTTTTTTTCTCAAAAATCCATTTATTCGATTCTCTCAATTTGCTTGTGCGTTTTGAGTGATTCTTCTTGCATTCTCTTCTCCAAGTGCTAAGGGTTGTAGATTGAGGCTTGGTTTGCAGCTGGAGTGAAGGAGATAGTAGATTCATTTTTGCCTCAAAGGTTAGAATCCTTAACTTTAGATCTTGATTTCTAGTCTTGCATTGTATGATTTGAGTTTGGAATCATGGTGTTTGATATTCATTAAGTGTTTCTGCAGCTTTAGAGCTTTTGATTTGATGAGATATGCATGTATGATGATTCTGAAATTTTTTCTCAGTGTGTTTTTGCAATTTTCATGAGATCCGTTCTTGGCCTATGGTTAATCATTTGATGTGATTCGAATAGCATGATGTAGATCTTATTTCTGGCTTTGATTTGCACAAAATTTCATGAAAATGGTGTGGAAATGAGCCCTAGGACTGTTCTTGCACGCATTTTTGAAATTGTTCGGAGGTTGAAGATGATGTGGTGGCACGATGCTATTGGTCTATTTGAATTTCACATTTATTTGAACTTTGTTTTATAACTAGATCTTTCTTGATTTTATTTCTTGATCAAAACTTGATGAAAAATTCTGAAAAAATTCATGAAACCTAAAAATAATATTTCTGACCTTCTGCATTTTTTTCCAGAATTTTTGGAAATGTTTTGATTGGTTTTAAAATTCGTGTGTTTTGTTAATTGTTTGTTTGATATTTGATTTGATTTTGATATTTCCTTTGATCCAAAAATTCCACAAAAATCATAGAAGCTTATTTTTAATTCTAATATTTGAATATAATTTTGGTTGAATATTTTTCTGACTTTTGATTAGAATTTTGTTTCGAAATGTGAACATTTGTTTAATTGTTTAATGGTTTAAATTTTGATTTTATTTTTGACTTTTCTTTAATTCAAAAATATGGAAAAATAAGTTTTATAATCTATGGAGTTTTCTTTATTTGTGTTATTTTGAATTATTTAGAATTGGAACTTAATTAATCAATAATTAATTTTATTTTCTAAATAATTAGGGTTTTGATAATCCCCTTGTTTGATTTGATTCCAAAAACCAATTTGCCTTAAGTTTCAATTGAATTAAGCTCTTTTTTGAAGTTCATAGATGGATTGAGGATCTCAAAAATATTTTTCTTGAATTAATTTATGAGGTTTGGTATTTTCCATTAATTTATTTTGAAAACATGTCTAGATTGGTGGTTTCATCAACTAGTTTTGATGTTTGAAGCTTATTTGATCCTTTCCTCAATCATCAATGAACTTGAGACTTTCTTTCTGACTTTTATACATCTTAAAGATGCTGAGAAATTTTTTGTTTGAATTATGGAAGTCCATTTCTATTTTTGATGAATTTTCAAAGTGAAAGTGCCCAATTGATGTTTCATATCTTGCTGCAATTTATTTGATGGCCAATGAACTTGTTTGAGGTCTGTAATTTGGAATTTAATGATCATGTTGCTTCTGTTTCCTCGCACCAATTCAAATCAATCCTCTTGATTTGCCATAAGTGGTTAATGAGCCCTTTTGATTCATGCCTCCTAACTAATGTTCTTTTCATGTTTTGCTTTGAACTTTAAACTTTTGGCTTGGGTTTAAGGTCATCAAATGACCAATGATAACATGTTGAAGAATGATACATCAAGGATAGTCTCAGAAAGACTTGAGATTATTTGACCTTTTACGCTTGAACCAATTTCATTCATATATGAATTTGATGTTCCTTTCTTCTTTCCTTTTTAATCCTTGAGGTATATTGAATGCACTTGTGCAACATGCATTAGAATCAACTTTCTAAAATTTTGATCATATCCTCATAGCATGTTAGAAACCTTATTTCAAGTCTTTTAATGGTTTAATCCCTCCAACTTTGCTTTTGTTTGAACTCCTTTCATTGCTAACTTGTGATCCAAGCTTTGTGATACATTTTGTGGTACCCCTCTTTTATTATCCTTGTGAACCATAATGAAATGAATTAGTATGTATGTGAAGTGTTTTCTACTGACTTCTAAAGTCTTTGATTATATTCTTCTCTTGCTCATTTGATCCTTGATTGATATTTACTTGTCAATTCAACATGGTGACAGGAAAGGAGCAACAATTCTTTAGTTTTGACCTAGTTGTTGTTTGAGT